ATATTTCTGATTTTACGTGTTAGACCTCAAGTTTTAAGTTATTTTGTTTCATTTAAGACGCTGTGTAGTTTACGATTTCAAATTTACAAAGTAAATTCATAATGTCTCATGCGTCGTAAATTCACGGTATTTTATTTGAAAATGTAATGGTTTTATAGTCTGTTTGCAGTGAAAACGTACTGATGAATTTCACTTTAAGCAAAAATGTAAATGAAATTATGTGAAATTAAAATTGCGAATCCTCATAACTTTACCTTGCCAATTGAACATTTAATTCTCAGAATTTTATTCAACTTAGGATAAAGGTTTATCTAGGATAAAAAACCAAAAACAATAATAGCGATTGGAAACTATGATCGTTTATTAAACAACTTTTATCCTAAGTTGAATAAAATGCTGAGATTGAAATGTTCAATTGGCAAGGTGAAATTGTGAGAATTCCCAACCTTAATTTCAATTTAATCGATTTAAATTACTTTTTTGTGCAAAGTGAAATTCATCGGTACGTGTTCACTACAAACAGACAATAGTTACATATCCATGTAATATAACATAATCATCAGCGGGAACTTCCATTGCCGTAGACATTACCGTGGACCTATCCTCACCCCTCGTTATCGGCGTGAACGTCTACAGTTTGCCCGACAACAGGCGATACAGGCAATGGAGAACTGTTCTGTTCACAGATGAGAGTCGGTAACTGCGTATCAACTGCAGATGACAGAACAAGCATATGGCGACGACGTGGCCAGCGTTACTCAGACCAATGTGTTATGGAAAGAGACTCATGGGGAGGTGCAAGCATCATGGTATGGGGTGGAATAGGCCTGGACCAGAGAGTGGGTCCTGTGGTGTTCCAGAACCTTGGTCCAGGGAGAGGAGGCGGCATCACAGCGGTGCGCTACATCGACCAAGCTCTCAGACCCCACGTCATACCACATTTGGCACGTCACCGGAACAACATTTTCCAGCATGATAACGCCCGGGCCCATACTGCCAGAGCTACACCGGACTTCCTACAACAGAACGGTGTCAACATTATGCAGTGGCCAGCCCTTAGTCCTGATTTAAACCGAGTTGAACATCTTTGAGATGAAATTCAGAGGAGACTGAATAATGTCATACCAAGGCCGAACACAGCCGGTTTATTGCGCCAGGCATTTCTCAGAGTGTGGTTCCAGGTGTCAGTGGCCTTCATCAATCGATTGGTGCACTCCGTGCATAGACGATGTGCTGCATTTATTGCCGCTCGTGGTGGTCACACTAGATACTGAAGTCAACAGTCTGAATGGACTGCAAACGTTTCCGTTTTGTCTTGGAATTGTGCTGAGTTATTAATTGATGTGTCAAGATAATGTACACTGTCCTTGTGAACAGCACGTGCAGCATGAGTGCATGAAAAACATGGAGAACACCGTACCATCTCTGAGATCAGGTTGCGTTTTTAAGACCATTTCCTGGGTTTCATTCTGAGTTTGGGAAGGAATTTATTTGCTCAGGTAAAGTAGGAGATGTTGTCAATAATATGCATCAAAACATTAAATGAGTTTATAGTTATCCGTTTCTGAGAAGGAATTTTCCAAACTGACGTTTCTTTTGCTGCTTAATATACTTCTTCATTGAACGCCCTGTTTTCATACACATATACGAGAAGGAAGTAAAAATGAAAAAGTCTAATTTCGAAAGCTCTAATTTAAGCAGTCATATATTGCTTTGTTTTGAATAAACGAAGGAATCGGTTCGGGATGATTAATTATTGATCTGATCTCATTCAATAATTTCCAGCCACTGATTCCCTTTACGAATTTGAAATTAGCGGGGCAGTGAAATTGTTTCAACGCAATCATGTTTCGATCTATGGCTACAGTGACGCTTGCTAAAGGCTATGTGACACGAATGGTCACGCCAGCTTCCAATGGTCAAGCTTCCAATATATTTCATCTTAAAGGCACAATGTCATACATGTTTTGTATTGTGACAAATATTGTGACCAGTATTATATGGGACCTATTGGGGCTAAAGTACTTGCTGTCGGTTCCTATTGATGCAATAAAAGACTTACTATCCATTACGACTTGCCTGAAATCGACAGTTGAAACTTCGAGGCGAACAGCTTCCAAACAGAGAACACTGGACATATATGGAAAGTAAACAATTGCTCCGTACATCGAAAACTGTCGCACGCGGTGTGCATAGGAAAGATCGTAAAGGGCGCTCCAACTCTATGGGATTCGCTTGAAATAATGTTTGGCCGGTAGAGGGCGCGAGAGTCGATGTATAATGCATTCGCACTTTTTTAATTTAAACTTGCAATCTACATACGTAATATTCTGGAATTAATATATAGTAGCTTCTCTGAGGGCTGATAGTTAGTATTATTGTGAGAAATGCATTATTGTTCTTTAGAGAAGTGTGCAGCTCCATCATTTACTGTCAACATTTGCATTTGGATGTGCAATCGAGCACGTCCTTTCAAGGTGCGTCATACTAATCCTCCTCCAAAAGTCACAGTAACCGCAGACAGGGCCTTTGTAAGGCTTGAGACAGATTTATGGATGAGATGGATTAGTGACCAAACAAATGTCCGATACAATGTGCTATTTCCACCTGTTACATACGCTCCCTTATCTTGACAAGTCTTGCATGTGTTTGGGACATATATCGCAACGGTGCTGTCACAAGCGACAGTAAAACCTTTATGTATGTTTCTCTTAGGACCGTAACCGGTTTGTCAAACCTGTGCCAATACCTGGTTTCGGTTTGCGCACAATCTGCACGTGCACGTTGGTAGTAAGCGACAGTTTCTGTCCGTCATTTTGAACAGGGATAGCCGTAATTCAGTCGGGCTGGCAGCATCACGCTGAACTCAATATTGATATATTGCTCCTCTTCATATATAGGACCGAAGTAAATCACCAAAGTGTATGTATTCTTTATTTCATGCTGCAGGTATATTCTAAGCATTGTAATTGTATCACCAGGGCCTAGATTTTCGAAGCTCTCTTAGCGCTAAGATAGTCGTACGTAAGTGCCATACATTAGCATCAACTTACGACTATCTTAGCGCTAAGAGAGCTTCGAAAATCTAGGCCCTGGTATTGTTTTTCCTGTTTCATATGGATAAAACCATTACTTTTTGAATTTATTTTCGTTATGGAATTTCCTAAAATTTATGGAAATCATGTTGGTATTTCATTTCTGAAAGTTATGTTCACCATAACAATTTGGTCGATAATCATGGGGTACTTACTTGAAATTTCTTGATGTGTTTCTTATATTAACGTGTTCATGAAAGTAGGTTGGAACACTGGCTTGTATAATTTTGTTTATTGGTACATTGCTTTAACATAAGTTCAAAATACATGTATTCATGGATGGACCTAAAAGTTAGAGGGAGATGTTTGTTATACATTTTGTGGACTAAATTTCATTGTTTATAAGGACTTATGATCCTCCTATTTGTTACAGCTATTTACCCTATTTCACGTCCATCACCACCAAGTCCAATGGTCACAAGTCCATAATGTACCATCAACCATATATGTATGTCAGCAATGTAACTGTGACTTGTACCACGAATAAAGGTGATGAATTCAAGTGGATTTCGGGTTGCTATTCAGCCTAGCTCTTCTCTGGGGAAATGCCTGGTCTCAAGCTATAATAATAAATCATAAATAACAGTGATTCATGCATGCTCGTCATATTGCAAGAGTCCATGACAAAGCCACGAGAGAGAACATACATAAACCTATTTTAACTCAACCTAAATCCGTGTACGCATAATAGTAATATGATGATATCCAAGGCACGTGTCAAAACTGAAGCTAATTACTTGTCAATGCACATAGTATACTTTGTCTCACATTGTATTAACTATGACGTCTTATTACTATTTACTATGATGACATTTTAACAGTTATGTTTTGATGAACTCTGCGAAGGAGCGATAGAACTTCTTGAAAACTATATGTACGATAAATATGTTGGATATATAAAACCAGACAGCAACATGGCGGAATCAGAGGGTAGTGCTGTAGGGGTGTTTAAATCTCCTTTCTTAAAGTAAAATAAGGCTGGTTTGTTGCTGTTTATATTCAAACTCAACAGTAGTCCAGGTACTTGGCGACGGTCTGTACATAATCGAGTCTGAACCAGACAACCCAGTGATCAACATCATGAACATAGACTTACTCAATTGGGATACGATGACATGTGTCAACCAAGTCAGCGAGTTAGTCGCCTCTTACAAGAAGCATGGGTTACCGAAGACCCATTCCAACCCGGATCTTCACACGGATCTCAAACGTTCATACAAAAGGCACCTCATCCACAAAATACAAAAATACCTCACAAGTAACGAAATCACATTTTGCGTTGTCAAAGTCTGCAGTTATAATGACAGGTTAACGTTGTAACATCAATCTGGCTAAAAGAAAAAAACAAATGAAATACAATGAAACTGATAAACGCCGAAACCACATTTGGCAACAAGAAAATATGTAGTCACTGATAATCTTAGTGAGGTAGTCAGATGCTCTACCATGTGACATGCCCGTACTGTATTGTATGAACTTTAGCCCAAACCACATTTGTCAAGGTTCCATATAACATATTTGTAGCTACATCTATTCTTAGTTGAACTACCCTGAAGACACTGTGTTTTTTGACACTGTGACAAAGAAAGCTGGGAACATATGATAACATATGCCATCTCGCTGTGCACCGTTCCTTCATAAGTATCGTTTCAATAACTTTACAACACTCGCAAATGAAGACCCAGCACATGTTAGTATTCTAAAGGCGCTTGAAAACAGATATACAGTTTCTTTGTGAGATATTTAGAAACTGTACAAGAGTACAATAAAGGATGTGATACATGGATAAAGAACTTTAACATAATTAGCAGTTAAATACCAGTGTTAGAACCCGCACATGCATGTGCCTACACAACTGGTAAATTAATCCCAAATAAAACAAAACAAAAAACACTGAAAAACAAGTGACGCAGGAACACTTTAAAAGGAAGCAAATAGATAATTACTGAGAAAAGAAAGTCAACAGATCCAGGTACAGTTTGGAGAGTATATGGGCACATATAGGTGTCCTTGATTAATATGTATTCAGTGTTAATTACAGAATCACGGGCGACATGATATATCACTGTGCCAATGTGTGTCATTAAGAGAGTTGGTGTACAGCTAGCGCATCCCAACATTATAATTCCACACCAGGCATGTGTCATCCACCTCTGTCGTAACGTGAATACGGTGGTAGACGTTTCATTTGAATCAAAGATATTCCTCAGTGGTTCGTTCTAAACGTGATTTCCGAGCTTGATTGTTTCCGTCGTCTTGATCTGTGCAGTTATGTCCGTGTTGTTGCTGGAAGGGAAAATAGATCGGTGCCTCAATGCATAAATCGTAACACAGTTTCTTAAATTCATTTATTACATTGTTCTCATCACTCAGATTGTACATACAACTAACCCAACCGATAGTCTTCATAGAACCCTGTTCATTGGTACTGTGCATCTTACCGATTCCGTCGTCGTCTTCGCCTGCATACCGCGATGGTTACAATTATAACCACAATTGTGACCGCCACTCCTGCAATGCCGCCACCAATCACTTTTTCCACTGCAACAAATAGTAAATGGGAGTTTTACACACACACCACTTCCCTAATATAACCATTTATAGGTTAATGTTTAGCATAGTCATCAAAATGATTACTTACAAGACGAATTGTCCTTTTCCGGATCTGAAAAAATAATGCAATAATTTCAGCATTGTATTTTGTATTATAAAACGTAAATAGCACTTACTATATTGTGTGGAATAGATCACAGATATAACGCTGGTACGACAGCGAACGAGTATTCCTTATAACTGTTATCATCCAGATTTCTCCTTTTATAGTTAAAAAATGTACATGAATCACTCGTAAATCAATTTTAAAAGTATTAATACACTTAAGACAATGTTCTTTTGTCCCATAACCAAAGCTTTATTTTCAAACTTATCCTCAAAATATTTTAGCGTGCCTGTTGATTTAGTTGATTTCTTTCCAGAGTACGTTGTTCCTATCTGTGACTTTATAGTCGTATATTAATAGTGTATTTTAACTCTGTGCTGGGTTTCACATTTGTGTGCATATTTGATTGCCAGGAATGAATTTTAAGTAAAATATATGTATTTCTCGCAGTATTATTGTTTATAGGAAGAGGTAAAACATCCGTTAACACATAACTAGTTCAGTTCTGTGTAGTATTATATTAATATATTTTAGGAGAGCAGTGGCTTAATTTAAGCTTGAACCTCCAATTATATATTGTGTAAAGTAGACCGTTACCAAAAGCCGTACAATTAGCGGGAATGGAGTACTTACACTATGCACATTTCAAAACAATTTATGTTGTATCAAAGAGCACGACATATTTCAGAAACATGTCCACAATTGTCAGCGACCTGTGTAAATATGGACAAATAGTAATACCAACATTAGGGGACACTTTTACATGGTTTTGATTCTCCATGACTGTACTGAAGCTCAATTCGATAGCTTTAAGAAATAAGTCTGTAATTTTCGTATTACCGTCTGTAGTGTGATCTCCTGTTGACTGAGTTAATGCTTCAGAAACGTTGATTTCTGTAAAAAAAAATTACATCAACAGAAAGGTGTCAATAAATAAAAGCGAAAACCTTTCTGATATTTATTAGAAATCTCTGCTCAAAGCTGAGACAACTAAACGATTCCAACTGCATCAGGAGCATGCGTCTGTCAAATGTCTTTAACATCAGGTGTTTGTGAGGGGTGAGTGTATACAGCCTCGCAGGTGGCACTGATCACAGACACACGCAAAGTCAAGTCATGAGTTCACCGAAACAAAACTGATACGAAAGTGAATTGAATAGACAAATGCTTTGTTACTGATGCGTCGAATTTGGAAATGAACACCAACTGTCTTTTACAACATATATGGAAAGCATTGGTAAGTATATTATGCATGGAGAGGTGTAAAACGCACGTTAAATGTTGTTTGAAGCTGCATTCTTGATAGACACCGAAAGCTGGAGCAAAACATTGCTTGACATCTGTCATGTTATAATATACTTTGGATTGTGTTTTGTCTGAATGCCCATAGCCACAGAAGAGACGGTTTCAATAAGCTTTATTACGCCTAGTTCAGTGTCGAATGAAAGCTGTTGGATATCTTTGTTGAAAGGTTAGACTCAATTGTTCTTCAAACGGTACGAAACGTGGACAACATAGATTGTAGCTGCTGGGATGCTGCTCGACAAAGTTGATGGATGAAAAACTGAAATCAACCCTATCTACATAAAGTATGTTGAATATGTTTTTCTCCCTCTCGACGTGTATGTCAGAATTATATTTTCGTATTTTATTGTCTTATCTCGACAACAGATCCTGAACCACAAACTTACAAAGGTATTCACAATTATTATAAAATTGTATTATAACCTCTGTTTGTTGCGGTCGTTGTCGTTGTAGTTGCAGTTGAAGCTGGAGATGAAGTTGTGGTTGTAGTTGTCGTTGTCGTTGTAGTTGAAGTTGGAGATGAAGTTGTGGTTGTAGTTGTCGTTGCAGTTGAAGTTGGAGATGTAGTTGTGGTTGTAGTTGTAGTAGTAGTTGTAGTAGTTGTAGTTGTAGTTGTACTAGTTGTCGTACAGGAAGCTACATGTGTCGGTTGTTTTGTTCCACAAGATACAGTCACATTGCCGCTTGTTGCTGCAAAAGACTTTGCACCTGGCTATTGAATCTATTGACTACAAAATAACTGACGTTTCGGAAGGAAAGAGTGCAATCTGAAGGAAGAATTTAATCACAGTGAAATATCCAATGGTTCATGAACAGTACAGAACACACATGCACAGAGAAAACAAACTGTTCGGAGAACTTGCAATCATGAATGTACCTGAGTTAATAAACACTTAAAGTGTTCTCTCCTTTCGAGACAGCATGTCAATGAAAAGACACAAATTATTGGTAAAGAGAGAATTGGCGTGGAAGAAGTGGCGTCATGGTGTGGGCAGAAATGTCACACCTGACAGTGGGAGTCCAACTGATTTGGTGTTTGTGAATGGACATATGGTCTTGTGTTGATGTCCTGTCGTGGATCCATTCACTGGACTCATCGGCAGAAAATCGAAATTCCACTAAGACAATACTAGACCAGATATGGTGCTAATGTCATCACCGATTATCTCAGACAAGACGTTCCCATATGGAGAGGATACTCGGGTCAGACTGGATAGGCTGGCAAATCCATGCGCAACCATTCACAATTTATGCTGTCAAGGTGTTGTACATAAGTCCCGCAACAAGATATTTATAGACACGCCTGGAACTGATTTTACAGACATTTAATACCATTGCACCTTTTCAATAAAAGTGTAAGTTCCTGGGTTATTTAGGTAGTATAGACCAAAGACACCAGCATCGGATCATTATGTAAGACAACAGAGCGTCTTAAGCAAGTAATAAAATGACTGATTATAGGACACACACTTCAATCAAATCGTACAAGTATATGAAACCTTCAGTTCAGTTCGGAATACAGAACGAGTAATCAATCTCGTGTCAAAAACGTCATCTAAGAACTATCCTCATCCATCCACCCACCAATAAATACCTCCAGCCAGCTAGCCAGCCAGCCAGCCAACCAACCAACCAATCTGCCAACCAATTGCAACCAACCAGCCAACCAACCAAACAAATATAATTTAGGAAATCCGTGAAAAGAAAGTTAATGTGATCTCTCAAGAACAGATACATTAAAGGTGTATTGTAATACCTATTGCAGCCATACCAAAAAGGATCCTCCGGAGAGAGAGGTATATCGTGCGCTTCGTACTCAAATGATTTCTGTAGCAGTTCTGTTCTACTGCTCATTATACCTATGTAACAGCAATTAATATGTGAAGGGTGCTTATGTTACCTTTGATTTTCATCCAGAAAAACTGTTTCTGTGTGCGATCGGGAGTAAACGTCATTGTCAGATTCATACGAACATGATTGTCGTTCGTGCTGTATAGGATGTTGTTACAATCCTTCACAACTGTATTCCGTGCACAATCAAATTCTTTGAGCGTGGAAGTCTCATTCATAAAGGCTATTTTGCAGTACGGACTATACTTATCTTGAACACTGTCAACGACAAGCACGTCAACCCCAGCATCACAGTCTGCAGCATAGACGACACAAGTATCCCCTGTTGCACTCCCATCTGTAACCTCACTGATCAGGTACACTGTCTCTCCAGACAGGGAAGAGTTAGACTTCACATGCAAAGTGTCATTGTCTGTGACAAAAAAAAAGACTTAAAAGATAGAAATTAATTACCGCGATATGAGTAAAACAGTACACAGGGTTTTTTCTGATCTGTTGAGTTATCGGATGTGACAATGTCAAGAAATAATTGTTTGACCACATATCTAAACAAGAAATTAAAGGTTAAGATATTTCCCAGTTGCTACAATTCAGTCTACTATACTTTCTATAAAACAATATGACTAAAATAGGTATGAGTACAGCAGTTACCAGGTACTGTGTTTCGGAATAGAAATAAGTAGAAAACGAGAAGAAATGTTCAAGCTCAAATTACCATCAACACAGTCGTATTCCAAGGACATGTAATCGTTTGTTCGGAAAGTGTCGTCAAAATGGTGGTTCACAGTTCCCAAATCACACTTGCTTCCCCGGCTACACTGTCCAAGGAGATCGTTGTATTTACCAGTGACGTTTCCCTTCATAAATGGTAAACAAAATCTGTCAACGTGATCATTGTTGTGTACATGACAACATTCACTGTTCCGCTCACTGTCTCGAAGTGGTCCTTGTATTCCTGTATCAGCATCTTGGTGACAAGTACCAACAGATGAGTCTCCAAATATCAGCTCTACAGGAGCGAGGTGACCATTCCCAGGACAAAGTGGGGACTCGATAATAAAGGGAAAGTATCTGCATGCTGTATGGTTGAGATGATAGGAGTGAATGCCTTGGTAATCTGGTTACATAATGAAAGTATGATAACATGTGTTAGAGAATCATGTTATGAATATATAATTGACAAAGAAAGAAGACACTATAATTCATTTTCAATGTCAACAAATCGATATCATATCTTTCTTCTCTTTACTAAGGTGTTTGAGAGCTGTTACTATACATGTACTTTGACTGAAAGGAATGACGTACCCGTTGCCTAATAAGACTCTTGCCTTTGGCTAGTTCATCGTTAAAGTGTTGTAGTTCCTAGTTTCAGAATTAATTAAACGTTCTTTCCACTTTATTCAACGTCATTTCTGAAACTTATGTCATATTACTTTTGAGCCTTATTGATTGTGTTTGTTGTATCATGATCAATTTATTGTTTGGATGTTATATTTGGATATCAAATTGTCATACCATGGAGATATACCGACATCGCCCCAACAATTAAAAACAAAATTGTATACATTAAAGTGAGTTAGTGAGTTTAATTTTACGCTGCACTCAGCAATATTCCAGCTATATGGCGGCGATCTGTAAATAATCGAGTCTGGACCAGACAATCCAGCATGAGCATCGATCTGCGCAATTGGGAACCGATGACATGTGTCAACCAAGTCAGCGAGCCTGACCACCCGATCCCTTTAGTCGCCTCTTACGACAAGCATAGTCGCCTTTTATAGCAAGCACATGGGTAGCTGATGACCTATTCTACCCCGGATCTTCACAGGTCGTATACATTAAAAGGTTAAAATGTTATACAGCACAAAACAATGGAACGAATGCGCGTGACAATAGAAGTGCCTAAACAGCACATCCTATATCAAATGTCATCTTTGCAATACTGGATTTTGTTACGTAGACATCTGTGGACTTATACCAAAAATGCTGGGCTTATCCTTGGTTTATTCAATGTTCATCAATATCACGTTGTGGGTACCAGAAATGGGCTTCACACATTTTCAAATATCCAAAGGTAGTTCAGATATCTTCTGAATATGACCTTGACCTTTAAACTTTAAGTTTAATCTTGATGCAGAGTGCAAGATAACACGAGCATACGTGAAAACCCCTGAAACGCAACGATATCCTGCATTTCTGTGATACAAATGAAAGTGCAGGGTAATCATGGAAATACTATAAATCTTAATGTGTCATAATATTTGCTGTCCCGACATATTTTCACAAAGTAGAATATGTGACGTTCCTTATGGTACTAGACACATGCGACCTTGATCTTTGACTTTGTCCATCTTGTTTTACATAGTTCAATGGAGCACCTATGGGTTTGTACTTGTAAACATTCTCAAAGAATATATCTATTCGTATTGAAGATTTGTGCTTTCACGTGTAGCTTTAGTGCTCTTTTCAAAATAGCATGGGAACTATGGAAACGCCCCAACGCGTTCATTGGTTCTGGAAAAGCAGAGATTCCAAGGTTTCAAAACATACCAAATACGTCTTACCCCTGGTAGACCTATCTCCTACATTTTGTAAGCAAGGTGGAGACTGCAACTGGTCTAATGTATTATACAGGTACAACATTATATCGAATATTTCCTTTGGTAGTATTTTCAGTAACCTTGATCCCTTGACAATTGCCATCAGGTAATGAATTATACTTAAGGAAGCTTTAGTGGTAAAGCAGGGGCATTTCCATTGCTCAATGCAAAAACCAGACTTGGTATTCTTTTACTGAAGCCTTTGCTTAAGTCTACTGGATGTGTCTTAATGTACTCATGAAAGAGCAAATAAGAAAGATGAAGTATGTCTGTGTGAATATGCACTTCGGTTATAGTTCATAATAATCCCTTGCTTTCTGGAAAGAAATGATTTTAATCTGAGTAGTAGCTAGACCAAATTCACTTTTTCCAGGCCCGAACTAAACAACCATAGGTTTTTCATGGTATCGCATCTGATAGACCCCACTTACCGTCAAACATCCAAAAGATGAATACGAAGACCCAGGCAGTCTTTATCTGGAACATCATATGGGGGGAGCCTGAAACACGTACAATGATAATGATAACAAAATAACAAGTACGGTGGTGAAACTGAGCGATAGTCATGACAAAACACATCCTCTCTAATTCGAAGGGGATAATGAGAATAAATCATGCTTTCATTAAGGTGTAACTATATGTTCATATTTAAGCAACATATCGAGTTAGTGTAATAAAAGGTTCTTTTCATTTTCAAAGGTGATAGGTCTTGTTATATTATCATCAGTCATATTAAGTGCTAATTCCCAAGCTGAAACTACACAGTTAACCGGGAATAAGGCCACAAGAGAACTGTGTTTGAAACCAAAAAACAACACCAAAATGAGCTGTAATTAATCATTTTAATCTAATCTTGACTCTTGTCATAAATTAAGACAAAGGTATCACTATGGCAGGGCGAAACCATGTGGCAGTAAAAGTTCAGAGGCAGTGTGATGCAAGAGCAGTGAGTGTAGCGAAAAAGACAATGATTCACATCAATAACACGACAGTGGAAGAAAGGACTTGATAGCTTTTATCTAGGGTGTGGCCATTAGATACAAAGTCAAAAGGTTTATTGTACAAAAGGCTCCCGGCCCATATACAAGAGAGTATGTACATATCATACTGTTACACAAAGGACGTAACACATTCTTTAAACAGTTCATTTCTTGTAACTAGTGCATGTTTAATATATAGTGAAAGATTTTAATTAATATATGGGATTGGTTCTTAGTCGTTAAAATATAGTCGGCATCCCTATCTAATAATCATCTATATATTTCTTTCGAAGGTCACTATAAAATGGACAGACGAACACGAAGTGAATTTCATTTTCTATAAAGTAGACCATCATAAGCAATGACCATCACATCACATACAATGATGCTCTTCAAGATTGTGGTTTGAGATGTAAATGAGATCATGATGATCTTCAAGATAATGAGTAGAAAACTATAAAATTTTAAGCCTTCGATTAAACACAAATTTACGATTTAAATAAACTATTGCTTAGACAACTAGAATCGCACGTGGTTTCATGCTACTATGATTGGCATTTTGTAATTGATAACGATCTAGTGAGATCTGCGTATCTTTATTCTAATCAGTTTTGCTCCGCTTCTTCCTGGTCTGTTTTGTTTGCATATGCATTGGACATCCTTTGAAACTAGAAACACATATAATAGGCTGAGAATTGTTACCCATTCCACAGACATGTTCTACAGATATTCGACTTGTACCATATGTGGCCGTGTTGATGCAGTTAACACGAGAGTTAGATTTGCATGTGGCTGTGACGAATAAAAGGAATGTGACAGGAAACGCTCACCATTTCGAGTACAGATGGTCAACTCTCCACTAGTTCTATGATTATTAAATGCCCTTACAACGATGGACTTTCTTAGCAGATATTTGTGTTATTTTTTAAAAGGGTTTTATGTATATCGCCCATATTCAGTATAGTTGTTTCATACACAAATGATTACTCACTCCTGTAGTCACTCAGATCTACTATTTGTAGATTTGCTTTGGTGTCCCTTTGCAGTCACTGATAGAGTGAGTGAGTGAGTTGAGTTTTACGCCGCACTCAGCAATATTCCAGCTATATGGCGGCGGTCTGTAAATAATCGAGTCTGGACCAGACAATCCAGTGATCAACAGCATGAGCATCGATCTGCGCAATTGGGAACCGAAGACATGTGTCAACCAAGTCAGCGAGCCTGACCACCCGATCCCGTTAGTCGCCTTTTACGACAAGCATAGTCGCCTTTTATAGCAAGCATGGGTTGCTGAAGGGCTATTCTACCCCGGACCTTCACGGGTCCACTGATAGAAAGGACGTCATTATAATTAGTTCAATTTCAAGCTTATAATCGTTATTGGCTGTGAAATATCAAGACAAGAGCTTTGAGACAAGTTTTTCATTAGGTCAAAGACCAATACAATATAAATATACTGAATATTCGCCTGTGCAATGGCGAGGTACGTATATAAAGAGAGCAATCATATTGTTATTAACATAATAGCCCAAGAGTGAGTGAGTGAGTGAGTGAGTTTTGGTTTTACGCCGCTTTTAGCAATATTCCAGCAACGTCACGGCGGGGGACACCAGAAATGGGCTTCACACAATGTACCCACGTGGGGATTCGAACCCGGGTCCTCGGCGTGACGAGCCAACGCTTTAACCACTAGGCTACCCCACCGCCCCCCAAGAGTGAGGATATGTGTGAACGATTTACAAAATTCTTTGTTTCTTTCATTTAAGATATAATAAATACACTTTGCAGCTTTCAGTACTTCAAAACTGTTTTCACATTTTAACAATTTGATAAACTTAAACATACTTATATTTTCCAATAAAGTATTACTTAAATGCTGTGTACGTATTTCTCGATATTTTGGACAAATCAAGAGTACGTGTTAAATATCAGCAGCAGACTTCAAAATATTCATAAGTAGAGAACAAGCTGACCAAAGACCTTTAGTTTCTTTAGTAGTAAACATGGGGACACCTCACATTCCCCACATCTATTGTTTAGAGTCTGGGTCCACCAGGCCATGACCAATTGGTTAACAAAGGGGGATTAAGGTATAGTCTGTAGCAAGAAACAAGGTAACACTTGGTAAGACATTTAATAGTATAAATATTTATATACAGTTTGATAGTAAGGTGATACGCATAGCACTAAACATACAGTAAACAACTTACAGTCCAACAAAATCCAATACATAGTATAAATACATAGTATAAATATTTATACACAGTTTGATAGTACTCATACCAACAAAATTCATCACAGTGTTGAAGTATTCGATGGGTGTCTCTACACCAGTGATCAGCAAGTTCTTCTCTTCTATGATTCTCTCATCAAGGCGGCAATACTTTCTTCTCTTGGGGGCAAGTCTGTCCCCAGATTCGAGCTGTCTTGGACGGCCCGGACCAAGCTTCTTCGGTTTGCAGTGCCAGCGGGAGGTGGGAGGTTGATTTCTGAAGGTCTCAGCGGAAGAGGTGGGACGTTCGTGGCACTGGAGCGGTACAGACTGGCTTGTAGGCTGTAGAATGTGTTGACGGTTGCCGCCATATCATGTCCTTCGCGGTTGTTGAAGGCTGAAACAACGAAGAGGAATATTAAAATCTTCTGATATGATGATTGGTCTTATTTATAGATGTAGGCACATGAAAGAAACTAATTGTGTTAATAGATTCTCAATGAAAGGATACAATCTTGACATATCTGTCTGATGATAAATTCTATTCATAAATGAAAGGCTATAATTTGCAAAGGGCCTTACCTCGAAGCTCAAAGAAGGTACAGCTCTGCAGTCAGCTCTGACTCTGCTTTCATCTGCTGCACGACCTTTTGGACTAATATCCTGTTCTCCTCGGAAGGGTGATGTGTTAAGGAAGAGGTGACTCTAGAATACCATCGCGAATGGTAACTCTGGCTGTGCCGGCTTTTTTGCAACATTCCGAGTATGTGATAATATTACGTCTGGATTTAACTCTGAATTTAAAAGCATCTAACATTAAATGCTGACCACCTTTAGTATTGGCAATGTATCTAAAGTTCACCTGAGCATTCGCCATTTTGGAATGACCATTTGTGATTCAGAGGAGCTATTTATGTCAAAACGATAAGCTATGATTGCATCTCAATAGTTTATTTGATTTTATTTCAAATTCATTATTACATCAAGACCTATTAAAACAGTTCACAATTTATAATTGGCCTTTGCTCCCTTTTACTGAAGTGTTCACCAGTGACACTAATAAGAACAGACCATAGTCCCACATCCACAGTCCAGTGACCTTCTAATCCCTTTTATCCAAACATTCAGATGTGGGGAAAGTGGCGTTAAACCGGTAAACATATATAGGGTGGATTTATATACATTCAATTACGGGCAATTTAAGATTCATGGTAACTGTTACCTTTATCGGATAAAGTCCTGAATATACACGTCACCCGACACTTCTGCCTGAATGTAAGCCTGTGGTATTACTCAGACCTTGTTATCTTATCAGCCAATAGCTTTGTGCAGGTCAAGTTTTCTGCTGTTAGAAGCGACAAAGACATAACAGGAATTACATGACAAATATGGATGTGTTGATAGTGGGTGAACATAATTTATATTAAATTCTGACCTTCAAATTACAGATGGCATAAACAAAAACTAAGAGATTTATATCAATTGATGATTTCTGTAATATCTTTAACAATGAAATGTCAATGCAAGGTCACTTCCAAGCATAATAATGCCTACATATTTCACGGGTTGCTACAGACATTTTGAGGCGACGTGACATCGCTGTGCAGCAATGTCTCCTGGCCACTTCTACCTCTTGTTGTGTTCGTTATGAGATGATAATAAGACAAAATAAATGTTGGTATGCACCAACCTTCGACTGGTTCACAGAAAGGGCAAGCTTTTGAGTTACCTGCATTGTAGCCACTTGTCTGACACCATGAATTCAGGTTACATCGAGAATCAGTAGGTTATAATTTGCGAAAGTAGCGTCCGATTATACAGACCCAAAATTCAAGAGTGTAGTTCAAAAGAGGCAGTCATGAAATACAATGATAATACCAAGAGTTAATTAGAACAAAGATAAGTACTGACGATAAACTTACCATGCAAGAACGTTTTTGTTATTGTAAGACGGAGGGGAGATCCCACCTCGTACTGTGACATTCCCGACTGACACTTTCTTTGAATGTCTGACAGTTTCTGAGGACCATTATTTCTGTGAAAACCCGGGGGTCTTCAGTAACCCAGTCGTGAGACGACTAACGGGATCAGGTGGTCAGGCTCTCTGACTTGGTTGTAACAGGTCATCGTATCCCTGTTGCGTAGATCGATGTTCATGCTGTTGATCACTGGATTATGTGAATCGATTTACAAACTGCTGGAACATTGCTTAGTGCGGCATAAAACTAAACTCACTCACTATTTATGTAACTGCCTTCTGTTTCTGATCGGCCTTCAATACTTATGCCTTAATGCTATGTATGTACAGTCAACTCTCGTTAATCCGTTATCACTGTTTTAAATGGTTCCGTAATATTTTGTCTGATTAATGTGATTGTCGGATTAAACAGTGTCGGATTAACGAGAGCTGACTGTACATACATAGCATTAATGCATAAGTATGCGTTTCACTTTAGATCGTCCTAATCCAAAGCCTCTCCATTATCGGAAAGATAATGCAGTTACAAAGGCATGGCCTATCTGATAAGCCTGTTTGGTCCAACACCTCGTCGGGTCTCCTAGTGGCCTCTCCTTCGTTCATAAGTGCACGGTCCTCTGTGAGGTAGTCAGAATGGATGTGCCTTCTGGGTTATAGCGTGTCCAGTCACGTTTTGTTCCCTATTCCACGTGTTGGCACGTATATCACCTGTACACACACGACACATCCTTGCACATGGTGGTGGTGTAATTTTGGTGTAATAAAGATAACAGCCCCGAGTTATCAGAGCTGATGGTATGGAACATCTGCTAGGTCACACAATACGATTGAAGCTTAAATGCTATTAAGGTCATTCTTTGCATTTTGCTGTTATATATGTATCACATAAGGTTTGCAGCAAGCAATGGTAAAGGCTTGAAGCAATTGGATTCGCCATTTAAACTTGAATTTGTAGATTCTGGATTTGGCCTAATCCTGTTTCGCCCAGGGACGCTCTCAACCGTGTTGATCGTCAACAGTTTAGGCGTGTTGGTACCTGAGGTAACATCGAGTAGTAGAATATATATATATGCAGATGGTTTTCTTTGTCTTTTATTGCAATTGTCGTTTATAGTGTCACGGTTGCATATGTATATAAATTGCAGCATTCAGAGTAGTGCTGTTTCAAACAACTGTACCCAGAGAAAGATCAAGCTTGGCGCAATTATATATACAAACATCTAAAATCATGTTCATAGATATGAAGATACTCTACATTTTGTTTTTCCATTTTCTTGCTAGCCCTTTCATAATTGCATTTCGTCTGCAGTACATCTGCTAACTGACCGGTGGAATGGTGTGGTACATTTCACAAAGCAAGTATTTTGCACAGTTGTCTAATTTACGGAATCGTAAGTTGCTTCTTAGTTTCTTATAACAGGATCCACCGATCTTGAGTTCAAATCCCACATTAGCGTTGTTTTCTCCAGATTAAAGTTCGTTTGTTTTGTTACGCGATTGACTTTTGCATCATGTCTTGTTTGGGATTTGCTCGCATAACCACATGGCGATGACACTAGTACATGTCCTTGGTGGACACTCGGTCTGCTAAATCGCAGTTGAGGTACAGTGTCCCTGGTGGATTCTGGGTCAGCTGAATCTCAGTTGAGGGTCAGTGTAACAGGTGCACGCTCGGTCATCTGTATCTCAGTTGAGGCTGGGTGTCCCTGGTGGACTCTCGGTCATCAGCATCTCAGTTGAGGCTCGGTGTCCCTGGTGGACTCTCGGTCATCAGCATCTCAGTTGAGGCTGGGTGTCCCTGGTGGACTCTAGGTCATCAGCATCTCAGTTGAGGCTCGGTGTCCCTGGTGGACTCTCGGTCATCAGCATCTCAGTTGAAGCTCGGTGTCCCTGGTGGACTCTCGGTCATCTGTATCTCAGTTGAGGCTCGGTGTCCTTGGTGGACTCTCGGTCATCTGTATCTCAGTTGAGGCTGGGTGTCCCTGGTGGACTCTCGGTCATCTGCATCTCAGTTGAGGTACAGTGTCCCTGGTGGACTCTCGGTCATCAGCATCTCAGTTGAGGCTCGGTGTCCCTGGTGGACTCTCGGTCATCAGCATCTCAGTTGAGGCTCGGTGTCCCTGGTGGACTCTCGGTCATCTGTATCTCAGTTGAGGCTGGGTGTCCCTGGTGGACTCTCGGTCATCTGTATCTCAGTTGAGGTATAGTGTCCCTGGTGGACGCTCGGTCATCAGCATCTCAGTTGAGGCTCGGTGTCCCTGGTGGACTCTCGGTCATCAGCATCTCAGTTGAGGTACAGTGTCCCTGGTGGACTCTCGGTCATCTGTATCTCAGTTGAGGCTGGGTGTCCCTGGTGGACGCTCAGTCATCTGTATCTCAGTTGAGGCTGGGTGTCCCTGGTGGACTCTCGGTCATCTGTATCTCAGTTGAGGTACAGTGTCCCTGGTGGACTCTCGGTCTCGGTCATCCCTGTACTCAGTATCTGAGGCTGGGTGTCCCTGGTGGACTCTCGGTCATCTGTATCTCAGTTGAGGCTGGGTGTCCCTGGTGGACGCTCGGTCATCTGTATCTCAGTTGAGGTACAGTGTCCCTGGTGGACTCTCGGTCATCTGTATCTCAGTTGAGGTACAGTGTCCCTGGTGGACTCTCGGTCATTTGTATCTTAGTTGAGGCTCGGTGTCCCTGGTGGACTCTCGGTCATCTGTATCTCAGTTGAGGCTGGGTGTCCTTGGTGGACTCTCGGTCATCTGTATCTCAGTTGAAGCTGGGTGTCCCTGGTGGACTCTCGGTCATCTGTATCTCAGTTGGATGTAAATCCAACTAGGGTCCATGCAGGTAGCAAAGGCACTGTAAATCCCCATGGTCCATAGTATGGTGATCTACCTTCAGTTGTTGGCGATCTATAGCCCAATTTTACATTGTTGTGTCCCAAAATAGTATTCTACTTTTAAAGATATATGCTAGCTAGTTTTAATTCAATCTGTGATAATCTAGTTGTTTTACTGTCCTTTGTTGACAGGGTTTTATATATTATATGTATGTATTATATATTTCGAACTAGTTTTTGTCACGATATGGCTGAAATATTGCCGATGTGACTTTAAATCTTAACTCACTCACTCACTGTATATCAGTTGAGGCTGGGTGTCCCTGGTGTACTCTCGGTCAGGTGTATATCAGTTGAAGTTGTGTGTACCCGGTCAGGTTTCGCTAAATAGTAGTTCTCAACAAGACCACTCTCAGCGGTACGTGATATTTGCATAGCTATTGTGAAATTCATGTTTAAAATATTAGGGATATCGATGAAATGAAATGTTTGAGATAATACAAGATGCATTGCTAACAAGCGATGTGTAACACACATCTTACAGGTAGTGACGTTTTTATGGTACACAGTGACAAATATTGTTCTGCAAACGGGTGATAATGTCTGTACTTTGAGCATGACATTCAACTATGGATTGTGCATTATAAATGAAGGACTCAGTAAGGTTGTTCTTCTCCACACACTGCACAAACACTCGAGTCTGTACCGACTTAATATGTACTTCCCAGCAGTTCTGAATCAGTTACGAAATCAATACTTGGCTCTTTCAAGATAACTGTGGAATGCCTTTGAAAGTGAATTTTGACATGCTTCAAAGAAGAACCACCAGAAAAAAGTATGTGTGCAAACGCGTACAATAAAGTTCTGTCGGAAAGCACCACCCACATATAAACATTCATACCCATTGTCTGACATGGTTCTTCTTGTGAGGGTGTCAGTGCTCTTACTTTCCTGTTTCTCTCAATCAACAACACCAAAAGAACATGAGCGGACGGGCGCGGTATAAGCATATATGGCTTTGACTTTGTACAAGCATTCATCCCTGTAATCTAACAGCCTATGCATTTTATGTATGCTTCAAAACATCGTCAGTATCTTTTTGTGATTGCTTACACTTTGATTGAAAATAAATGTAAGCGTTATGATCAAGACGACATCATGTTGTGATTTACCCTGCTGTTACACGCAAACCATGACTTCAAACACGTATATTACCAGCTACACCTGTGTTTACACTTTGATGTGTGGCGGTATTATTCATTGTGGAACAGTGTTGTGTCTGTATTCCATTGTTTCCGTTAATATGTGATGTTGACTACATTATGGTGGGAGTGAGAATAATGTAGAAGATCTTGGAGCATACGTGCTATTCCAGTGTAGTCTGACCCAGCGAACTTGGAGATGTTCCAGAACATGTACGTTATACATACAAAGGGAGCAAACCCTTGGTCACCTGACATTTATCGCACTTATGATGTGCGTGCTGTCTCTCTAGTGGATGTCCTTTCATGAATAACTCAAGTCCGTCTGAGGGTCCACAGCTGTTTATTCAGTGCTACACTTTCAAGCGTAGGCTCGAACTTCTCTGCAGTTTCTTTTCCCCAGGCCTATTGCCTGTCCCGTTATATACCCAGGGTTGGTCATTCGTGGTCCTTTGTCTTTGGCCCCCTTCGCATCTGGTCAGTGACGAGTCAACCTTCTTCACTCTCTCCATTTGCCCTATATCCTAATTAAGCCTCTAATCATCATATCTGGACATGGAAATTACTGGCCAAAATTCACTTTGCTCGATGTTCTTCCGTTTGTCTTTAACTTAATGGGTTTGCCTCATTATCCTTATTGGATATGTGGGATGACTTGCCAAAGTGTCCTTTGTCCAGTGTTCTGCTGATCAGGGGCTAGTGTTTGATCCCTTGTCCAGTACTATATTTAGGGGACAGCACGTGTGTTCGATTAGCGTGGGATGGCTGGTCATCTATTAGTGACCACCCTACCTGCTGTCACTCCTATGGCATCTCACTGACCAGCGCGAGTGTTTAATTACTTAATGAGAGGGGGCCAGCTGGACTCCTAATATTCTACCCTGGATACATTCCATCAAGCTTCCCTGTTGTGAGAAGTTCACTTTTCACCCTGGATACTCACCCTTGTTGGATTCTTGACCACTGTTGCAGCGAGATGGGAGTAATTATCACTGTCTTTATTGCTACACTCACTGCTTTTGTATCATGTTGCCATTGTTTTTGTTCAGCCATTGAGTTTGCACTACCCTCTCTATTTGGTCCTGACATTGTAATTCCTTTGTAGTGATTTGTAAACTTATGTTAGATTAAACCTGGTAATTACATAACATGTCTCTGTTGTTTCACTCCGGATTTCGGTTTAACGTTTTGTTTCAATTTGGTTATCGACACGTACCAACCTGTGTATGCATGTATCTCCGTGCGGGACACCATGTGCCCTTGCTGACACTGCACCAGAGCGATGGTATCGTTTACCATATGTTTCCAGGTCGATATCATCTACCTTTTTCTCCCATTTTAGAAATGTGCAGGGTTACACGGTAATAAATAATACTTAATTTTATAGGGAACTTTCTACAGAGGAGTGAATGTTCAGCATGGATAGCAATTGATTAAAAGATAAATTGCTACTGATTACAGCAAAATTCGATG